TTTGTGTCCAGGAAATAATATGGTTGATACCAACACCACCTATGAGAATATACACTTCATAAGAAGCCCTGAAGAATGGCAAGAAAAGGCTGAGATTGCTAAACGCAATCTGCAAGTCAATAATGATTCGTACAGATATGCAAGTGCCCTCAGGGACATTCAGGAGCCATCGGAATTGGTTTGCGAAGAGCATAAGGATTTGGAACCTATTTACATGAATACACGTCCAGTGTCTGTTGTAAATCAGCCACCGCCACCAATTGAACGAGCAGTGCCCACTCAGCCACCGCAATTACCAATTAGGTAAAAATGAATTAAACTATGATAACACTTAATGAATTCATATTATTCATGTATATTATTATTATTATTATTATTATTATTATTATTATTATCAATGTTATTGTTATTTTTATTTTAACTTTCCTAATACTAATTATTAACCATAACAATACGTACTAAAATTTAAAACTGTATTATCTCATGTAGCGCGAACGAACATTCCCATGAAATTGGGGATGGTTTAGCTCAGTTCAGAGTGTTTAGGACTGTAATATATACGCTCTTTAGAAAACTTTACGAAGCGTTAATTAGACTTAACAATTGACCAATCAGATGTGTTTTCGATAATCAGCAATACGGGCATGTCTCACAAACACACGTTCGTTTTCGTACGTTCATGTGTTCAAAGTCCCACACTTTAGCAACAATCAAAAGGGTAAGATTTATTGGAAAGGTCGATTTTTCCTGCTTCATTAACTTAACAAACTATGTTTTGCGTTTAAAAGGAAAAATCGTATTCAATCAGCGCATATTGGGGTATAAATATTAATCTTTATTAATTAGACAAACCATAGAGAAAGCATAAATTATATAGAGCTTATTTTCTTTTAGACCAAAGATCAAACAAAATGAAAAAGGACCCGCTACACCTCCAAAACCACCTGTTAAGCCGAAACCTAAAAATAGGAAAACGTTGGCTTGTGGAAATATTGACGACTCTGTAAGGTATGCATATAGGCGATGCCTGTAACATGGTGTCTGTTTTTACATTTACGCCAAAGCAAATTAACTACTGTACATCAGGCCAATATTCATGCGAGCTATAAAATGGTATATCAAATAGAGGAAAGTCATGTCTACATGAATCATTACCAATATTATCTAGTACCTTTCTTAACATTAAATGTGTTTTACTCTTCTTTTCTCTTTCTCTCGCTCTCGTCTCTATCTAACTTTCTCTTGTTTTCCTCATTTGTAAAACATTTTTCTTTGTCTCTTATACTCTCATCTTCTAGCCTATTTTTCTCGCCCCTCTTTCTCCCACACTTTCTACTTAGTTATAAATCTAATAGCCTATGTTTTGCTGTTTGTTAATAAGGGAGTTGGTGCGGCAGCAAGGAAAAACAGTAACAATTAACATCCCAAGGGATATATTGATTAACAACAAGATCAAGTTAGCCGAAATCAACAACGGAATTTGGTAAGCTACTTTTTACAAAAGTCATATAATATAAATAGTTATTACAACAAACCAACAAAAACAAATACATTTACAGAAATTGAACCCATAATAGACACTAGCTTCTGCTATTTAGGTTTGGTGGTTTTGAGTATGACTGTCCGGAAAAAACTCTGTCAGACTGCATTCTGTTCGGTGATCAACTAGTTGTTATCAACGATCAGTGGCTAAATTCTGCCAAGTTTGCAGGCAACATCATCCAAACAGCTCGCAGACAAGAGGTGAGCATACATATTTATTACCATGCAGTGACATAAATTCAATTATTAAAAAGCTACTTTCCTATATTACAGTATATAAACTAAAAAGAACAACATTTTTGCTTTACCAGGTTTCGTTGTATGTGAAACGATTGCCACATGCGCAGATAATAACTATTCACCGCGAATATGAACAGCAACGATTGGGCTTAGAATGTCACAGGCGAGAGGTAAGTACATAAAACGATTAGGCATACACACATTTTGTCCATGAGAAAACGTCAAACATTTTCTTACATTCTGTAGGCCTAGGCCTGCTAAGCAGTGCCGGCTCTATATCCATTCATGAGCGTATAAGCTGTTCGACAGGGGTCTGGCATTTTCCGACGAAGGCCAGCGGGGTCCCAAGGGCTAAGCCCTAGTGGATAAAGTTAGCCAAGTTCGTTGGCAAAAACCTGTGCAACCTTCGACCATTTTAAGCTGTTCTATGGTGTATTAGAACGTTTTACTTCTAAAGAGAAAAGAAAAACATTTTCTCTATTTTGTTGGTCAGGCGCCCTGCTACTAACCCTGACAATTTAAACCAGTTTTTTGCTATATTTACCTCTCTTAACTAATATATTGAGTAGGGTTTGATGTTGGAATTAATCAGCCTACATTCATTTGAGTTTCATTTCAAAATACATTTTTTGTTATGCCCTTTGGCATTTTTTTTCTAAAACTGTATTTATTATAGCTGTTAATTTGATGTTTGATTATTATTATTATTATTATTATTATTATTATTATTATTATTATTATTATTATTATTATTATTACTATTATTATTATTATTATTATTATTATTATTATTTTTATCGTTAACATTATTATTATTATTATCATTATTATTATTATTATTATTATTATTATTATTATTATTATTATCTTGACAGATAACTAACGTTAGTGCAGATGAGATAGCGTCGACTCAAGGGAGGCTCAGACCAGAGGCTACAGGAATTTCAGGGATGAATTGTAATTGGACAATCACACACCTGAATTCTAGTCCAATTCCACCAAACATTACAACAGAAATGGTAAGAGAAATATTGTATTATATCTATCTCATCAGAGCTCAAAATCACTGGGCTAGAATAATGGTGGACGAAAGCTAGAGTTAATAAATGTTATAGTTATTCGTTTTATTAATTAACAATTTAATGATAAAATAAATAATGATTAATTTAGAATTGTTAAGAGCATAGAGTTTTAGATATGCGCTATATAAATATACAATAATAATAATAATAATAATAATAATAATAATAATAATAATAATAATAATCTTTAAAGTGCAGACTACAAATTTTATTCATCATGACTTTATACCGTACGGTATGAAGAATCGATATGGTACTGTAACATTTCATAATGCGTTTCCATAACAAATTGCGGTCCTATCCTGTTGATCACACTGGCATGCTTTGCATAATATGATGATGTCATCACACCGATATTATTAGTTATGTATTTTTCACATAAAAAATTGATAATGCGCATATGCGTGATCAATGAACTCGATATATAAATTAAATAGTCGAAGCTTTCAATTGATAATTAGAAATAGAAAATATTTACTCGTCAAGGGATCTTTCCGCTAAACCCAATCCTTTAGACATGTTTTGCTAAGATCCCACAAAACGACAATGTTAAACATACGCAAACACGTGTGTTTGCGTTACAACACGTGTGCTTTGTAGACACCCGCGTATCCTGGCCCAATTTTTATGAACAGTTTAAATAAATATATGACGCCTGGTATTTTTTTCAGATGGAAGAAAAACTCAAAATGGCCGGTAAGACAGTACATTTGATTGTGCAACCTACAGACTTTGTAAAGGAAATTACAAGCCTGGAATGAATCACCTTTAAACTGACAAGGACCTTTCCATTAAGCCCAGCCCCTCGCATGAAGTATCATAAAATGACAGCATATACGTAGGTCCTGATTGGCCAGCTGCATTAATTTTTAGAACATTCACACATACATACAGACTATATTTGTTTTGAGCAAACAAAAAATAATCTTGTGCCATTAGCGTATAGGTCCTTTTTGTGTCTACTGTCCAATGGGGGCTGTAGACACTCAACTATTGTCTCACTTGTCGTGAAAAAGTAAATCCGGTTGGAGGAATGAATAGGATGCGTCATAAACTAAAGATAAAAATGAACAGTCGACCATGATAAGCCTACGAAATGATGTCATATCTAGACACGACTGTCCTAGAAGAAGAAAAAGTAAACAGTTTGTTACTTGTACAACTATTCAAGTGAATTGTCAACACAGAAATTTAGCAGCCAGAAACAAACTATGTAGATACGCTCCTACGCTAGGAGCCTATTTTTATTGTGTACTGTACATATTATATATTACGTTGTATACGAATTTGATGAGAAATTTGTTTCCCTTTGTGAGTCAATTAATTTTTCTTATTCATATACTGTAGTTATATGAAGTGATTTAATTACCTTTTATGAATAATATGGCGATAAACTTATGCAATGATATATCTAGTACGTATTATAAATAAAAAAATATATCATATAATTTACTTTATTTTACTTTAGAAATAAGAAAAAAATGTACATATTCAACTGTTATATATATGTTCATTCCACGATTGTATATAATAATGTTAAAATAAAAGGCTAAAAATTATGTATTATAAAAAAAGTTATATAATTATATATTATATCATATCATGGTTGTTATTATAGTGTGCAAAAAGAAACGCTAAGAGAGCTTAAAAAAATTAGTAGCTTTTATAAAGTATTGCAAAAATATATAAGTATTTGCTTATTTCGAAGCATTGTTTAAAGTAAACAAGCATTTTATTTCCTTTTTCAGTCGATATACAGGCCAAAGAAAAGTTAGGGGATTAAATAATTGAATTTTTAAGGTTTTTCCCAATTTTGTGGGCAGGCAGTTTATCTGTAATATAATATATAGGTCTACATTCCAATTTCCTAAAGCTCTGTCCACGCTATCAAATATTCATTGACAAAATCATGTCCTATGCCCATATATAGTCATGATGTGCCCATATATAGTCATGATGTGCCCACATATGGTCATGTTGTGATGTCATCATGACCATGTTTATCAATGCATGTCACATGTTTTTTATCAAACAGAATTTGATTTTTATATTTGATTTTTATTTATTTATAACTTTATCAAACAGAATTTGATTTTTATATTTGATTTTTATTTATTTATAACTAATTTCGCCAGGATAACATTTCAGTAATATACATACAGGGCATATATATACTGTTTTTTAAATGGTCCTGGTATCTATAATAAAACTACCATCAACTATGACACAAAATTAATTGGAAGGCAATTATTATCACTGTTTTCCCCACTATTAATATTTGTCTATTTTTATTTATTATTTTTTACTCATTGACTATTACTTCCATTGAATTATATTGTGAAGATTGTTAAGAAATTTTAGTTGAAAAATAATAATCATTTGAGCGTCTGGACAGGGCTTTAAAAATCTTCGCTCACATCACAAAAGCGCGTCAAAATACGCGCAGTTGTTGTTACGGACTTTTTGTGTGATAAAGAATACGAAAGTGCCTGACAACCAGTACGCGCTCGTTTTGACGCGCTACGGTGATTTCACGAACTAACACAATCTACTTTGATTGTGTTAGTTCGTGATGTGATCGACGATATAATCATCAGTATATTTTTATTCATATATATTATTATTAAAAGTGTATGTTTACAGGAATTAATATAGGCTAATTATTGAAATGGTAATGTGTTTGCAACATTGTTTTGTGATTTTTGTTTCTGTATTTGTACCCATGCAGTGTAATATTATAAGAAAATATTTAAGATAATATTTAAGATAATAAAATATCTCAAAAAACAGTCTTTAGGAAAAGAATGAAACATTCATTATAATTTTGTACTTATGATACAATATGCGTTTGCTCCGTTTCATATTATATCTTGTATATATACATATATTAGGCCTATATGAACGTTAAAATGATTTATAGATTTGGAATGACAAATATAGAATTCCATCAGACAAAACTAGTCCTTCCTTGGTGCCGTATTCTATTAAATTTTGTGTAAGCCTATATGTACTGTTATTATATATATATATATTATTATTATTATTATTATTATTATAGACTATAAACAGGATATGTTGTTTTTTAGTATTTTTCTTTGATTCATCATAATATATAATAATACATATAAAACGATATAATTCATCATCTTGCGTTATTGCTGAAATAAACTTTTATATTTTTATATATGTTTCTTCAGAGAGTATGAATTCAGTTCTTTGCAGAATTCTCGTTTTGTAGTATTGTAATCATTTTATTTCTGGCATGAGAGCAGACTAACCCATCCGTAATTTCCACATCATTCAAACTTGTTTTTTGTATTATATATATAATATATATATATGTATGTATGTATATATATATATATATATATATATATATAGCACGTAACATTAATAGGCATTGACATTTTTAAAAATTTAGTGGCAAAACGGGGAGGGGAAGCCAAGTTCCCCCTGTGCTCCCTCACCGCATCCGTGCCTGTATCTAACTAATCAAAATAAAATGTATTAGCTTGAAGAAAAATTTGTTCTTAAAGTCCACCAACCAGCTGATGCGTCATTATATTGCAATAAAGTATTTATTATATAAAAAAAAAGGCACGTATAATTCAACCAGTGAGCCCCATAGCATAAATAATTACAACGTAATGCATGTCCTGTCTCTTATACACATCTCGTTAAAGAAGAGGGATCTGATAGTGTGAGGAAGATTGCCACAATTGAGATTCGAGTCTGGAAGCTTCTGCAGATGACGCCTTAATTAACTAGCCCAACAAAGCTTCGTTGGGAATTTAAATCCTATTAAAAGCAAACCGATTTTTCATTCATCCTCGTTTGCAAATATATGTTGGACCTGAGTGCTCGTTCTCGAAGCATATCATTAACATATATTCAATACGTAGCTATGGTCTCATTTTATAGACTTATAAAAGACAGCGATAGCTCCAAAAAAAAGTATATAAACATCGGTGTGTTCAAGTAGGCCTATCATTCACGTAAAATGGAACGAAAACACTTATTTTAGTGTGCAAAATAGTCATGAATTTAACCTTTGAGAGATAAAACCATTTTATCCCATCAGAACAAAATTAACAGATTCCAAAAAATTGAAATACTATATTCAGAATTATGTTTTGAATACTGAACCATAATTTTAAACAGTCCCAACAAACCTCTTCGGAATGCTAATCTAACTAACAGCTGAACCACCACCCGAACCAATCAGGAATATAATCACACGTGTGGTGTCTCGCAAACGCACGTCGCGTTTGTGTATGTTTTTCACTATCGTTTTGTGGGACCTTAGCATCAATATCTAATGGGTGGAACTTAGCATACTTCCATTTGACCTTTGTTGACCTTTAAATTTTCAAAAATATTGATTTTATGGAATTTGTTGAAACCACTCTTGTTAGTTTTGGACTTTTAAAGAATGTACTATATTCATGTTTTTTCTTTTGTTAAAAATTAGTTAACCAGGCCCAGCTACTCTCGTCTGTCCACAACTGGGTCTGTATCAAAGATCTTATAAACACAAGATAGCGTTCTCCGCGATTTACGCGTAACAAATAGAAGCGTCGGTCAAGGTTCAAAAGTTTCCCATTTAGCAAGAGGGCGCCATTCATGCGCTATTACCGAAGAGAAAAAGTAATAAGTTTTGGAAGAGAGCGTCCTATCTGTTGCCATGGATCTGAGATGGTTCCTGTTCTGCTGTTCACAGGCGGTGTACTGTATGGTCAGATCAGAGCGGTCAAGGGTCAAAAGTTTCCAATTTAGCAAGAGGGCGCCATTCATGCCTTATTACAGAATTTGCACGCGTAAATCCCGGAGAACGCTATCTTGTGTTTATAAGATCTTTGGTCTGTATGTAGTGCACATGAGCTAATTGTGCACTGGGCCTACGGTGTCTTTATGCGGGAAGACTTGTTCCACCTCCAGAGACCATAGGCGAGTGCGCCGTTCGAACCAGCGTCGATATTATAATCTAATTTAAATTCAATTTATTCGTTTTGCAAATTAATTCTCATTTTTAATTTTATCTGTTTTTCTTCCTAAGTGTTATAAATTATGATTACATATTATATCATAAATTCTTTGTTGCTGTTTCTCTAGGGATAGATTAACTAGCTTTTGAGCTACAGCGAATTCAATTGCTTTTGTTAATCCATGTCTCCTTAGATTTACAGTTTTATTCTGTATTGTGAATTTTTTTTAGTTTATTTTACTGTATGTACAAACTGTATTGTGATTTTCATAAAAGGCTGATAATGAATGGATGATATTGATATGCCTTAGAAGCTCGGCCAATTGAGTCGCAATGGCGAGGCTGCTCTGTACCAAAACTGTACTTCTATTAAGAGGACGATTTCGCATATTGGTTTAGCACGTCGATTCGGGACCTCCTGTAAGGAAACACTTTCTGGTCCCAAAGTGTTCCCTTGTGAATGAATTAGTTATTACCAGTGAGCCCCATAGCATAAATAATTACAACGTAATGCATATCTGTAGTCTTATTGAAGATAAACACAGACGTTGTCAGTTTGTTATGCTTCTTCCTAAATTTCCGGGTTCATTCGTTATTTATGATGTTTGCATTATAATCGCAACTTCCAGTAGGCCTACAACTACACTACGCCAAAATACTTCATTAGTGCATTTACCTGATTACCGCGTCTATCTGACGATCATGATACTGTGATGTTACTTTCTGAACGTATTTTGTATAAATGGATTTTCTCTCGTTGTTTTCTTTATCGCTGTCAAAACAACTCGTCTATCCTTGTTTCAAGATCATGATGCGCATAGTCAGAAAGTTTTACCAAAACAGGAAGCATTTGTCATTTTTGCTATATTTGTTATCAATGTATTTTCCAGTGGATGACCAGAAGAATATATAAAGCCTCTCCCACAGGCCTATGGAGTTTAGACTACAGTTAAACGACGTTTTAGCAACTTTTTCACTATAGGCAGGTAAGAATTTTGCTATTAAGTCACTAAGTATACATTAAGTATTCCAATCGATTTTAGAAGGTTTACTTTATCTATTAGTTATTTAACGGAGAAATAAATGCACCCTAATGAATACATTTCACAACAAATCAAAGAAAGTAATATTCAAAGATAGTAATACTGTATTCAATTTAGATATGCGATTGTGTGTTGTGTGAAACGGTGTTGGACCGGTGTTACCTTTTAAAGGAAAGTGTTTTGCAAGTAAAATTAATAAACACATTTCGGCTAGGCTTGGATGGATGGATTTGGATGGATACCAATGATAAATACCAAGGATAATCCACAAAAATCTAGGATAAGACCTTCTGGTGGCGATTGGGCAGTACACCGGAAGACAATCCCCCTCGTTTCCGAAGAGTGTACTGCGTTCTTTGACGTGCACATGGGCCACAATGTACACGGGGCCAACGGCTTAAACGTCTCATCCGAGAGACGGTAACTTTCCAGCAGAAACACAAGAAGAGCAGTGATGGAAATTGAACTGGGACCTAGAGATCTCCACTGTTCAGCGCATAAACCGTGATACTAGCCGACTGAACTAAGCTGCTTCATTTTTTAAATCAATTTATTCAAGAAAACCCTCCACAAAATTAAAAAATAAACAGTACAAATGCAATGGTAAAATTAAAACAGAATTTAGGAGCAAAGCCGCATAAAAAAAAAAATCAAAAAAACACTATAGAAGAACTTACTGATAAATTTCAATGACCTTTCACAATTTATAGATTTCAAAATTCAGAAAAGCTTTTTCATAAAGTTTAAGAATACATCCTCACAACCAGTTGAACAACACTTAGGAGTGTTATTATAAATTGGCTGTTCTATTGCAGTGGTGTTTTTTTTCCTGGTGTTGTCTCCTATTAGTGTTATTTATAATTCCTGTTTAATCATGTTGTTCGGTTTTTAGTTTTTGTATTATGCTTACTATTATAATTCGTAAATTAGTACGGTAGCTATAATTTTAATTTATCTGAAAGTTGTGTAATCAAACAATTGGTTGAAACTTTCCACGAAATGTTCCAAAAAATAGAATTCATAATTATAATTAAAGATCTTGGGAATGTTCACGATGCCTACGGAAAACACACAAAATCTATTTTTAAAACATTAAAGTTCCTTGATGTTAGACACGTAACAAACCAGATATGAATATTTTCAACTACTATACTAAAGTCGTGTAAATGTAGGTAGAACAAGGAAGTCCTTCTCTAAATTTTATCTTAACCGCATGACGTGTGACTAATATTAAAAGACAACCTTAAAATCCTAAGCAGTTATCACGTTCACAGCGCAACAAAATGAAGTAGGCCTATTTAGAGCCGGTTTTCCACTAGGCGAATTTATTCGCGCGAATCAAAGAGTCGGTTCGCTTCCTGAGCTCTGATTGGTTGCGCATTTTTACGCTTCGCAAAAACTCCGATAGAATTGCGAATGCGCATGCACATTAACAGACGCTTTCGATTCGCGCGAATAAATTCGCGAGTCACGTCTTTTCTTTTATTAGATAAATCGCGAGTCAATTGTTTTCTTTTATTAGATAAATAATCTAGCTTTAATGTGCCTATTTGCTTGACCTACCATAAAACCTCGAATTGAAGCCCTGGGCTCCTTTTTTGCGAACTTTTGATGGGCTTTTTCGAGATGGGCTTCTTTTCGAGGCTACGTTTGCAAAGTAAAAGTCTTCTTTTCAAAATGAATGCTGTAAATTTTGTGAATTTGTACTATAACACAATAAATAAGGCCATTGTAACACCAATCTGTTTCATGGAGTGTATTTAACTGGAATTAAATCACCTAAACTACTTTATAAACCAAGTAATTAATTTATTTTGTTTTATGAAATTCATGTACAGTGTATGTACTGTACTATCTCGAAAAGAAGCCTATGCTATCTTGAAACGAAGCCCATGGACCTCTTTTCGAGATGGCTTCTTTTCGAAGCTAATTTTGCCAACTAAAGAGTGGGGAGGGCTTCAATTCGAGATATGCTTCACCTCGAGATTAAGTGCAATATGCTTCAATTCGAGGTTTTACAGTATCACAGCAGTTGACGATACTTATGATCGTTTTGAGGTGTGACTTAAATTTATTCAGTGCTGAAATGCTTCCTCAGTCTAATAAATATTTAATAACCCTCATATTATAAACATTGTATGCCTGAAAGATTAACTAAACTAAATGAAATAGCTAATCCAATAATTTGATAATAAATGTTAGTTTGTTTTTGTTTTTGTTTGTTTTTTAAATTATATTACCGTATATTGTAGTATACAATTGTAATTGTGCAATATAGCCGAGTAAAAATATCTCTTACCGACAAGGCTACAACAATTTTCATCGGAAAATAGGATTTTTGCATTGACCTTTAAGTATCATAAATGAACTTAAAATTGTTATTCTCAAAATGTTTACAAATTTATTTGCATTTTTATTAAGAATGGAAAATAAAGATGTTGAAGTTGTACTGACAAACAGTGCTTCTCTAAGAAACGAGACAATTAGAAGAGGAAACGCTAAACAAGTAAGTATTTAAGCGTCATACATGCAACTACGATACTATAAAGTAAAACTGTAAAGAGAAATTTACTTTTTTTAAAAACCAGGATTAACTTTA